ATTGATCTAGAAAATATTATACATAAATCTTCACACATAATTACTTTATATATACAGTTTTAATCATGTAATTATTTTTAAAAAAATTACAATACAGACACAAGTACAATTGATGTGGCACCTCTATTTAAATTTACTGATGGGCAAACTCTGTAGGGGTGGGGACATTTGGACAGGGTCAACAACGTCATCACGATGAAGAAGTAGTATTATGACAGTTTGGGCGATAGTGATTACGATTACAAATTATATGAAACAGTTACAACCCCCCCCCCCCTCCCCCCATGGACCCCTCTGTAAAAAATAGTGTCATAATACCATTGCTACTTATTTAAATCTATTTCTGAATCAGTATATGTGTGTAATTGAATATGTGTGTTTAGAACAATCATCTAAAAACTGACGCTATGTTCACTCTGTTCACAACACACACCTCACCACCATAATTGTTTAGAGCGACATTAATGTCACACCTAGGTATACACTGGGTTGGATAATTGACCTAAAGTGACAGTAGTGAATGAAATTGAACCCCCCCCCCCCCCAACCAACCCTGAACTGATCTGTTAAGTACATTTGGGAAAACGCGTAACGAGGTACTAAAGTACCATGCCGCCAGAATCATAGCTTTTAAATCAGGTAAAACTCTGTGAATATTGTTTTTGCAATTACCAGTAAAAAGATGTGTGATCAATACAGTGATCTAACCCATACCTGATCACTATGTTAAAAAATGATCTTAAAAGAACACAAAAAGCAGTACTTAATTAAAAGATGTATAATCTGAACTAAAAAGACCAATAATTTAGTTAAATGTAAGCTATTATTACGGATGTTTTTCTATAATATTTAAAGCGTGTTTTTATACCAACTCTGATTTAAAAAACTTCCATTATGCTATAATGCTTTAGCATTTATGATGACGATATATTTAATTCTGATTGTAGAAAAAAAATTTGAAAACACGAATACTGTTAAACAACTATATTACATTCTAAAGTAATTATTGATTTGTTTTGACATTTATAATTAAATATGTAGATATATACATATTTATATTAAGAGCGTGATTATTTCCCCAATTTCGCTTGTCCCAGGAATTATATTATATATATATATTGTTTACATTGATACATTTTTTGTTTTGTCGGCCTACATTGTGTGTTTTTTTCTTATTTCTTCAAGTGCTAATAACAATTTGTTTTACATCATAGCGAAATAATGACATACAGCTAGTATATATATATATATATATATATATATATATATATATATATATATATATATATATATATATATATATATATATATATATAAATATATATATATATATACTAGCCGTCCCGGCCAGGCCCTGCTCTGGCTTCTGTGAAAAACCTTTCTGTTAAAGACCATTACCTGTGTGTTTAGTAATCATCATAAACCCGGCATTGCACACCCAAACCAAAACCAAAACAACAAAACGCAAACATAACGCTAACACAATTACAAATACAAACGAAAACAAAAACCTAACAACTAACCCAACCACAACCACAAACACCAATACGAACACAAAGAAAAAAACAAACTAAAAAGCAAACGAAAACAAACCAAATCCAAATGCAAAACCAACCACAAACCCAAAGAAAAAAACACAAACGAAAAAACAAACGAAAACAAACCAAATACAAACGCAAAACCAACCACAAACACAAATACAAACACAAACGCAAAGAAAATAAAACACAAACGAAAACGAAAAAAGAAAGAACAAAAACGAACCAAATCAAAACGCAACCACTAACGCAAACCCAACCTAAACACAAAGGAAACACTAACGCGAACATAAACGCACAGTGCTCAGAGTCTAGCCCGGGGGCGGAATCGCCTGTTTCAGCTTAATAAACGACTATAGTACCCCAACTTATTCATAGTCTTTTGCACTCACTTAAACGAACGTAGGCGCCAAACCAAACACGGGAGGCCCGGGACCCCAAATAGCACCCTGTCTGGGCGCCAGAGGACGCACCATGACGTCACCGCCTGATTGAACTTAGTAAACGACTATAGTACATAACTTATTCATAGTCTTTTGAACTCACGCGAACGTATATACCATAGCGTACACCGGAAGGCCCGGGGCGCCAAATAGCACCCTGTCGGGGTGCCGGAGGACGCCCGGATTTGATTCACTTGAAGACTATAGTAACCTTTCTTACCCATAGTCTATCGCACTGTTAAAAACAAAACTATGCAGCATAGCGCTCACATGATAGCCCAGGGTGCCAAATCGAACCGTGCAAGGGCGCCGGCGGACGCGCCTGTTTCAATTTAGTGAACAAAAATGATAATACTCCAAGCTTATCCGTAAATGGAAAGAAATAAACATATAGGATTTGTAGGACCTGGCTTATTAAATGTTATTGATTTAAAAAAAAAATAAATATTGAACAGTATTGAACGGACACAAATTTTGAAAATTCATAAAAAATTAATTTGAAGATATGCACTTAAAATTTTTAGCTGATTACCCCAAAATATGGAAGAAGATTATGAATTGATTGTTTATTGGACTTAAAATGTAATATTTTGTGAATGGTGGAAAACCTACGAAGGGGTTAATTTTTCAAGATTGCCGCCGTTGTCATAGTTACCAAGATTTAAAAAAAAAATTTTTAGTGGAAATGGATATGCGGGTGTATCTTAATAAAGCTGTAAAGAAATAACTGTTTTCTAACGAGTATTAAAAAAGTTTTTTTTACCGGAGCCTTCCCCCTTAAGTTTCATACGTAGCTTCCTGGTCCTGTTCAATGAAATCAATTGATTGAAAGTTTAAAAAGAAATGTCTCAGTCTGTCAACGAAAATCAATGCTTATTTTTTTTTAGAAAATGAGTGTAAGCGGAAAGAACTTGAAAGTCCATTCGGGACTGGTGATCATTGGAAGTATTATGTACAGTTCACATATTTAGTTGATCTTAGCAAACGATGAGACATTCTGATCAGTTGTATATCTAAGCCTAGCCTCCTATAGTTTTAAAAATTTGAGTTAGGTACACATCTGAGTTGGGTGTTCTCGAATTTGAGCCTGTGATCAGAGCTCAGGACTATTGGGTCAGAGGTCATGCGTTCTACCACCTATTGTAAACTCGTAACTTTAATTTTTTTTTTAAATCACAATAGGCCATAAACAGTTAGTTCTAATTAATTGGCTTGTAATTTCTTTGGCGACTAAGAAAATTCCTTATGGGCCTAAAAAAATGAATGACACCTAAGGGGACGGAGGTGTGTTTTTTGACGCGTGTGTCGTACTTACTGTATTCTCTGTTTTCTTTTTGCGTCTGTACATCAAACAAATGCCAACAGGCTGTATCGTCAGCTCTGTAACTACGACATTATAATATTCTCATGCATATTTTTTTTGTTCAATGTTGGTGTGAATTTCCAGCTTTCACACATGTTAGATAAATTATCCGTTTTTATACAGAGTTCTGAAACTTCTTTAGGCCTAAAGTAAACAGCCATTTATTTATTACTACTGACATAGGTGGTTCTCGACTCTCGGTGTTGTGATTGTGTGTCTGGTGGTTGGTGGTTATGAAGGGGCTAAAAATAATCTTGCTAAAATGAATACAGATTGGTTAGCCTGTTTGTATTCAGTTTGCCGCTTATTGAACACGATTGAGGTACGCGTAGAGGGGCGCTCTTGTGAGCCACGATAACATTACCGCAGGGGCGCCGCTTACGGCCCTTGGCTATATTTAATCATCGAATGTCGTGTGCCGCCTTGTCAAAATTGTCGGGTGTTCCTTACTACAAACGTAAGTGCCATAGTACTCACATGATAGCGCAGGTCGCGAAATCGCACCCTGCCCGTGTGCCGGCGGACGCGCCTGATTCAATTTATTGAACGTTTGTAATACCACATCTTATCCATATTATATCGCCCTCTTTAAAACAAACGTATGCGCCATAGCACCATATGGAGCGCCTGAGAACTCGCCTGATTCGCTTTATTGAGAGACTATAGCAACCCATTATATCCATAACCCATCGCACTCTTTTAAAACGATCGAAAGCGCTATAGTGCTAACAGGATAGTGCCTGGGCGCCGCGAACGCGCCAGATTCAATTTGGTGAGCGAATATAACGCCCCTTTTTTCCATAGCCTCTCGCACTGCTTAAAACGAAGGAAGACGCCATTGCGCTCACGGGAAAGCCCGGCAGCCAAATGTTTTGATGTGCTTCTGTTGGGTCTATTAATATTAATAGACACATTAAAAAAATGGAATTTTGAAATATTATGACATTTCCAAAATCTAACTAAAATGCTACCCAAGTTATCATGTCGTTGACACAAACACACAGACACAAATACATGCACACAGATACATAGGCAAACGCGTAGAGGAGAATGCAAATCTAGTTTTTTCCAGATTATGGCAATGTGTAAAAACGTCGAGATTTGTAAAAATCTCGATTTGAATGTCTTTCCCTTTTGCAATTTTACATTACTGTTTAGATACTTGGTATACAAAAAAAAATATGAATTAATTATTCATATAAAACGCTACATTTAAACCAGCATCTTCATAGTTGCCCACACGTGGGTAGATGAAGTAGAGTTCGTCTGTTTTATAGACCTCTTCATACTGGGAGATAATGGTGTCGAGATATTGAGTAAGGAAATCCACCTGAGATGATTAGACTCTCGGACATCATATAGGGCAGGTAAGTAGGTCACCAACCAGTTCTATGGCTCATTCAGGTTGAGCCGAAGAACTGGTTGGTGACCTACTTACCAGCCCTATAGGCTCAAGCTCTGGATCCGAATTCATGAATTTTTTTTTGGGTTTGCAGTCGTGAACGTAAATTATATTTAAATAGGCCTACCTGTTGTATTTACCAATATCTATGTTTTTTATTTTCTAAAATATGGGTAAAGATTGTTTCTAATACCGATTTGATCACTCTAATTCTCTATGTATTTATTTTTGTCATTCCTCAGGCATGATTTTAAAATAAAAATCTATCATGGATCCACTTTTTACAAATATCGAATTTCTAAGCTATTTACAAGCTAGTCTGAATAATATTTTTGGTCTTTTTATCGTACCATCAAATGTTGTGCACTTGTTTCAAAGATACAACGCAAAAATCTTCACCAGAAACGATTTGGTGAGTATATTTGAGTTGTTCGACACAGTTTAACATTTTTTTCCAATAGATTTGTGGCTTAAAATGAGTGTGTTTGTGCATCAGTCATCAGCTAGAAACATTGCAGTTAAATATGGATAGTTGGGAAGGCGTTTTACAGATGTTAGTGCACTGACTATAACATAAAAGGCTCAAGTTTGGATTCCGGGTGGTAAACTCTACGACTTCGCGGGGTACATAAGGTTCTAAAGGGTACCTGACTCTCGTTAAGGAAATCAAAGCGGCTGTGTATATTGCTGAACACGTTATTCCCTTGTTTGCCGTGGTCGTTAAAATAGAAGAGTTTTACTTCTTCTGACTCATGTGTCATGGACACATGGAAAGTCATCACAAATGTTAACATGAAAACTGTGAAGTAATTTCAATATAAAAGGAGAGTAGACTATATATTATTAAAAAAATTAATGAAAATCTGCGAAATAATTTAAAATTTAAATATAATGTCTTCTCAAATCCTAACATTGCATTTTAGTTTCTTGTCCATACTAATTAAACACAGTGTGAAATAAAAGCCAAAGAAGACACTAAAGGTGAGGTAGCAGCAAGTTCTCTACTGCTTGAGAGGCTGATGATTTATGAAGGCTAGTATCCGTGCTTAATAAAGGTTCTTAATGACCCAGGTGCTAAACTCGGACACATTGTGACACTTGTTAAAAAAGCTGTCATCGAAGCAGAGAGTAAGCGGCCTAATGTATGTATATATATATATATATATATATATATATATATATATATATATATATATATATATATATATATATATATATATATATATATATATATATATATATATATATTTACATATATATATATATATTTACATATATATATATATATATATATATATATATATATATATATATATATATATATATATATAAAGGCTATATACTAGACGTTACGGTCAGGCCTTGCACTGGCCTCTGTGAAAAAAACATATCTGTAAGGGACCGTGACTTATGTCTTTATTAAGAAGCATATATCTGGCCCTGTCCGAGGTTTAGGAAATATATTACTTTTCAAATTAAATGTCTATTGGCATTATGGCAAAATAACACATAACTCTAAACCTAACTCTAACTCTAAATTAACCCTAATCACTACCAACTACAAACGAAACCAAAACACAAAAACAAACGAAAAGTAACGCAAACAAAACGCAAACACAAACGCAAACAAAAACGGAAACACAAACGCAAACACAAAAGCAAACGCCAACACAAAAAAACGCAAACACATACGCAAACACAAGCATATACAAGAACTCAAACGTGAGGTAAACGCAAAAAAAAAACGCAAACGCAATCGCAAACACAAACACAAACGCTAACACAAAAGCAAAAACAAGCGCAAAATAAAACACAAACGCAAACGGTTAAAAAACGCAAATACAAACGCAAACGTAACACAAACATAACCGCAAACACAAGAACAAACACAGAAACAAATGCAGACGAAAACGGAAACAAAAACGAAAACGAAATAAAATGCCAACACAAATAAAATCGCAAACACAAACATAAACACAAACGAAAAAGCCAAAAAAAAACATTAACTCAAACCAAAACGCAAAGTGAAATATAAACGAAAATATAGAGTTCAGTTGGTAACTGCTTCTAAACTGTTTTTGATAAGTACATAATAATTAAAAAACGGCATACAGTGTATAAAATAAAGGTAATATGTAATAATATACCTGTTTTGTCTACCACCTTTGCACTTTATCAACATAAAATTAAAGTAAAAATGTGTTAGGGTTAGGGTTGGGGTTGGAGTTTGGGTTGGAGTTAGCGTTATTGTTAGGGCTATTTTTTTCTAGACTATTTTTTGTTGTTGTACATTTTTAAGAGAAGTAATTGGTAGAAAGGGCCGATAATTTTTATACTGTTTACAATCAAAACTGTTATTTTTGTGATAGGTAATAATTTTTTAACATCAATTAAAATTATAAGTTTGCAAAATGAAAATTTAGTTTGCAAATTATCAGTATTGAGATTTTTTAGACATCAATTCAGATTCTATTTATGAAAAAAAAAACATTTCTTTTTTACTTCATGCATGTGTTCCACAATTCCACCTGCAAAAATAAGACGCAGATTCCATTTAATTTATATATATATATATATATATATATATATATATATATATATATATATATATATATATATATATATATATATATATATATATATACATATATATATATATTTTATATATATATATATATATATATATATATATATATATATATATATATTCATTTTTTTAAAGTGCAGCGTATTTCATTATCCTTCCAAAAATATTTTTTTATTTAAAAAAAAACCATTTAGATAATATATTGTTAACTATCTTGGATTAAATATAAACATGCTACTTTGTATCTATCATATGTGTTACAGATAGCTGTAAATCTATTGGTGCAGAGAATTCCAACCAATGCTGTAAACATCAAAGTAAGCGACTTTATATATATATATATATATATATATATATATATATATATATATATATATATATATATATATATATATATAAATTTAAACGAATTGTTGCATAGGTATGGATTAAATCAGCAAACAGGACAATACTTCATACCCATTAATTACTACTTGACATTTCCACATCATGATTATCCCCAGTTTTAATTATACCTGTCAATTATCCAACCTACCAAGACCTTACCGAACCCACAAATTGCAGTAGGATAGTATCCTCTGAAAGTTACCAATTATGTCGGGAAAGACCTGAATAGGAATGTTTAATATGTATTCTGTACTTGGGTAAATACCGACGGTAGTAATTTAAGGAGATAATAGGGCTTAGGATAAGGGTCCGTGTGGGCATTGGGAGTAACGTTCCTGTTTCGTTAATCTATATCACTGTCGGTTGAAATTTAGGTTCTATTTTACTTATTTGAGCTTATTATGACTTCAATTACAGTTTTAAATATTAGTTTTGATCCTCTATATACGTTTCAACATTTAGTGTGCACTGGTTGCTTTTCATCTTATTGTACATATAGAAAAAGTTGTGTGTGTTGGATCGTCTGTTACACTTACTAATATTTTTTTCATTGTTTTTTTTTCCGGTTAACTCAATGTTTGGCTTAGCAATATGTTGTTATGACGGTGTAAAAAGCCACATACTATTACCTAATACTATGCTAATATTTGTTTTTTAACATTTTAATTGTAACACATTGTGTTTAGTTCACTAGAAGGTAGAATGGTATGTAATAATTTTTTTTTTTTGTATAATAATTTGACTCTGATGCTTATTATGTTTGGTTAACGAACCGTGTTAACATGGATTGATAAGTGATGTGTACATTAAATTTTCCACGTAGTTTCATGCATTGTTATTTGCATTAAAATTAAACATACATTTATATTTTATTTATTAAAATTTAGACACGGATATTAATGGCTATAGCAAAGCCTAGGCAATTTATATTTCCTTTACTTGATTTAATGGTGTGAAAACTATATACTCTTTCATGATTATATTTTAAATGGTATTTTCATTATGAACAATGTACACGTGTACATGTACAAGCATATGTTTGTTTTGACGGTTTTGCTTGCTTTTGCGTTTACGTTTGAGTTTAATGATGTGTTTTAGTTTCAGTTAGTGTTTGCTTGTATGTTTGCTTTTAAATTTCTTTCGTTGTTGTATGTATTTATATTTGCATTTATGTTTTCGTTTATGTTTACCTTTACGTTTTTGTTTGCATTTTACGTTCAAGGTTTTGTTTACGTTGCTTTTATGTTTGCATGTATATTTGTGTTTATATTTGGATTTATATTTGTGTTTATGTTTATATATAAACATATATATATATATATATATATATATATATATATATATATATATATATATATATATATATATATATATGTATATATATATATATATATATATATACATATATATATATATATATATATATATATATATATATATATATATATATATATATATATATATATATATATGTATATATATATACTATATATATATATATATATATATATATATATATATATATATATATATATATATATATATATTTATATATATATATATATATATATATATATATATATATATATATATATATATATATACACTAACTTATACCCGTGCTTCGCCATGGTGTGGATATGGATGTTACCCTCGGACGGGGGTCCTCGCATTGGGGCGAATATTTTTTTAGCGCGTGTGTCGGTATCCTCAGAGTTTACAGCGCTGCGCGCTTCGCTACGATTGGGATAAGAGTATTATCTCAGAGTTAACCGCGCTGCGCGCGGTTGTCTGCCAACTACCTTTTGAACAGAACAAAACGCTGCACAATAGTAGCTTATACCAGTGCTTCACTACGGTTTGGATATGGATATTACCTCAGAGCAAAGCGCTGCGCCCGGGTTGGGGGTCGTCGCATTGGTTCAAATAATTCATCAGCGCACCAATCTCTGCGCGGTTGTCGGTAGCACTTTGGTGCGAATATGGATATTCACGAAAATTAAACAACGGTAAAAAAATTGAGAGCCGACGATCTCACGAACGTCCGCCCAGACATACCCCCTCCCCGTTCCCAAGGCGTCATCAAGAGAGGGAAAAAGAGAGAAAGCAACGTAGACCAAGAATCGCAGTAATCTTACAAGTGACAACGTTTTTAACACAAACATTACAAAAATGCGAGCCAATGCAAGCTAAATAAACCGGGAGTGATCTCCCCTAAACTTTCTCGAATATTCTTATATAAAATAACAGGGGATGGAAACTCGGGCTATAGACATGATTTTTAATCCATTTTAAATACTTAAAGTTTTAAAAATAGAATAAAATCTCGTAGACAAATTAATTGCACACCAAGTGAACGCAAATAAAAAAAGCGCATAATAGTGCGCAATATTATTAGTACTTTAAAAATTTACATTAGTTTTTTGAGAAATCGGAAGTAGCGTAAATTACTACTTCCGTTAAACGGAAATGACTCAAAATTTAACAGAAGGTAGAGAATTAGATCTTTTACTTACGTATGAAATTTCATTTATCTATCTGAAATAGTACTCAAGTTATAGGCTTTTGAAAAATTCAAAGTAGGAAAAGTACCACTTCCGGTTATCAGAAATCGCTCAAAAGTTGTTACGGATCTACGATTTTGATTAAATACTTATATATGAAATTTCATCAACCTAGCTGTAACGGTACTCAAGTTATCGTGTTTACACACGGACAGACACACACACAGACACACACACACACAGACATACGGACAAGATTGCAAAATTATGTTTTTCCGTATCAGTGAGGTGTAAAACGTCGAGATTTGTAAAAATCTCGATTTTTTTACTTTCTCTATACTACGTATATACGAGAAAGTAAAAAGTGTCTTCTTAAAAAAATCCTCGTACAAATAGCTATCATATTATCTGACATAGGGTAAATGGCTAGTAAGAATAAAGGACGGAATTATGGCTTAATATTCACTAAGACGTTAAGAAAACAAAAGTAATCAAATTATATTTGACTAAAATCCAGTTTTACTTCATATATGATAAAATAGGTGGTATAAAAAGATATGTAAGCCAATACGGCACTGAATTAAAAACATTTAAATATCGACAAAAATGCGTTATATAATACTAAAAGAGGCAACATTGTTACATTTTTATTAGAAATGTCGACATTTTCCGTAGGCCCTAATGACGACAGTGTAACGATTTTACGTGATCATGTCTGTAATTCATTTTTACAGATTTAAATTTGGCAGCAGAAAACAACGACTTGAAACGAAAAAATGACTCTTTGGAGAAAGAAAAACGTACGTATTATGAATTTACACACACACACACACACATATATATATATATATATATATATATATATATATATATATATATATATATATATATATATATATATATATATATATATATATATATATATATATATAAACATGTGTGTGCGTTTGTGTGTGTGTGTGTGACAAAATATAAAAGGGGAAGGACGTAAATTACATTTGTTGAGTTATGCTTTACATTTACAAACATTGCAGTTGAGCTTCAACAAATAATTCAGAGACTACAGGATGAAAAAGCTAAGATGTCTAATTCAAAAGGTAGATACTAAAAGCTAAATTCAACCAATGCACACATTACATTATTTAACTCTATTCGTGTCGTTTTAAGTTGTAGTATCTAATCATATGTTACATTACATATTGAAATTTACACACACACACACACACACACACATATATATATATATATATATATATATATATATATATATATATATATATATATATATATATATATATATATATATATATATATATATATATATATATATATATATATATATATATATATATATATATATATGTGTGTGTTTGTGTGTGCTTGTGTGTTGTTTCCATTTACTTCTTATACCGTTCTTTGTCGATTTTACTTGCAGCCAAATTAGTAGAATACAACAAACAGCTGAACATTAAAATTGAAATAAACCGGGAGTGATCTCCCCTAAACTTTCTCGAATGTTCGAATATAACACTACGTGGGATGGCAACACGGAGTATAGACATGATTTTTGTTTTTCTTAAACTTTTAAAAATAGAATAAAATCTAGTAGAAAAAAGAATTGCGCACAAAGCAAACGCCAAAGCAAAAAGTGCATAATAGTGCGCTATATTATTAGTTCTTTATAAATTTACATGCGTTTTTTGAGAAATCGGATATAGCGTAAATTAGTACTTCCGATCAACGGAAATTAATCAAACTTTGAAAGAAGGAAGAGAATTAGATTTTTTACTTACATGTGAAATTTCATTTATCTATATGAAATAGTACTCAAGTTATAGGCTTATGAAAAATTCAAAGTAGAAAAAAGACCACTTCCGGTTGTCGGAAATCGCTCAAATATTGTTACCTATCTACGATTTTGATAAAATACCTATATATAAAATTTCATCACCCTAGCTGTAACGGTACTCAAGTTATCGTGTTTAAACACAGACAGATAGACAGACACACAACAACACAGACATACGGACAAGATTGCAAAAAACATTTCCGTATCAGTGAAGTGTAAAACGTCGAGATTTGCAAAAATCTTCGATTTTTTTTTGCACGATTACAAGACTTTCTCTATACTTCGTATATACGAGAAAGTAAAAATAAATGAAACTAGACCACCCGTCATCCTTTGGATAACTGTGGGTTAAGGGGTTATTTAAAGAGGACTTTTTTGACATTTATGTCTCCACCCCCCCCCCCCTCCCAGATCGCCACATATTTTTGTGTGTAACTTAAGAACCAGGTTTTTTTTCTGTCAAAACGGCTATCATAAAAAAAGTTAAGGGTGCTGACTGTATGCAATTTGTTTAAAAATAACTATTTCGTCGTACACTTTACAGTAGAGCAACGTGAACCATATTACACATTCAGATTATCAGATTGAAATAATACTTAAGTGTTTTGGGCTATATACATTATGTCCTTATAAAAAATACAATTTTATGTTTTTCAGTTGAATCGTTGAAAGATATTATATGTTAAAGTGCTGTTTGTGTGTGTTTAAAAAAGAAACAAAACGAAATCTAATAACAACACATAGACAATAAAAAAAACTATCCTATAATATGTTTTTTAATAATGATAGAATATTTTAAAAAATGAAAATATGGCATTTAAAAATGGTTTCAAATAAATTAATTTAAAGTACAGGTTTTTATTGTTAGATCTATTATTATCAGAGTAGTAATAAAAAAGGTGTAATATGACATTTTGCTGGCCTAGTAAAAGCTATAATACGCACAATTACATATTTGATGATCAAATAAATATGATTTTGGACCAACAATGTAAAAAGATAATAAATTGTACTGTTTGTAATTTTATTAACACATCATCGGAGATATTGAACTACTGGAAATTACTTTTTTTACGTTGAAACTGTTAAATCATATTTACTTGCACAAGGAAACATTTGTATTGATTGATGAATATAATATCCAACTATTTATTTAGACCTACACCATCACAACATAGGTCTAACTATTTCCTGCTTAAAACTTCTACAGTAAAACCAGAACACCAAAAACAACAAAATTGAATTTATTGTAAAATACTTCTAATGACTACATTCCTTGTAAATATGCTATCTTTTAAAAGCACTTTAACATTTTCATTGCTTCTTCCTCGGCTTAGTGCTACATATAACTGACCATGCTGAAATACAGGTTTTTCTAAGACAATAAGGACACTTTCCATGGTCTGCCATTGGGCCTTGTGTACTGTCATGGCACATCTTGACTGGACTGGAAACTGTGTTCTTTGTAGGGGAATGTCGTCGCCTTCAATTAATTTTACTGTTATTCTTGGTATCAAAACAGTTTCGTTTTGATATTGTCCTATAAGTATTTTAGCTACTATAAGGTTGTTATGCAGCGCTTGAATTACTAGTCTAGTTCCATTGCACAATCTTGGGGGATCAAGAATTTATAGCATTGCTATAGGGGAACCTATTTTTAGTTCCAACCTATGCGGTGATAGACCAGAAAACTCAACAGAATCTAAAAAATTCAGTGGGAAAATGTGCAGAGTCAGTTCCTTCAATTACAGAGTTGAAAGAGAAATATTCTTTCAACTGACCGGGAAATTCTCTTATGCACATTGAACTTATTTTTCTTAAATTTTCATTCAATGGCAACATAATTCATCTTATTTGAAAATACCACCATAGGTTCTCCAAATGAAGGGTATGTGTTTTTCATACATTGTTCGAAAAAAATATTGCTGAGGACCATATCTTCCGGTAATTGTATTTCCCCATTTTCATTTGTAGGTATTTTACCTTCCCCAACTTTTAATAAGAGCCTGCTGTAGTTAATTTCTCCTTCTTCAAGACGCATGTTTAAATTCAAATTAACTTTGTAAATAACTCCCAAAGGTAAGATTTTTTTTAATGGTGGCATTTTTTATGTCTATTTCGTTTCCTGGAAAATCTCCACAGCAAATAGTGATGATGCCTCCAAAAGCGACGTCCTTATGACAGACACCGCGCAGTGTTCTGTCAATAGCTTCAAAACATTCTCGTCTGGCCATGGAGCATTCATCCCAAACAATCAGCTTTGTTTGACGGAGAAGACCTGCTGTATTCGAGTTCGTTTCTATGTTGCATACTGAGTTGCCATCTACTAGTATTGGGATTTTAAAACGGGAATGGGCGGTTCTGCCTCCAGGCATTAATGTTGATCCTATACCGGAAGATGCCACTGCAAGGGCAATATATCCTTTGGCTCTTACCTGTGATATTATTAAATTTATGAGGAAAGTTAACTCTCCTCCAGGGGCATCAATAAAAACCATGGATGGTTTATTTTCCTCATGACACTAATACATAATTGTATACTGCTAACTGGTCACAGTTCAACATGGGTGCCTTTTCTCGGACGTAAATGGACAATTTTTCCCTGCGGTAGCTCGTCTCTTTGGTTATATCCTCATTGTGTCCAAGATAACGTAGAGAAGTTGGTGTCAGCAAACTGTAGTCAGCGAGTCTTTTGCCGTATGCTTCTAGCTTCTCTTGAATATATAAGAGTGCCTGGTCATGGTTAGTTGGGTTCTCATTTGTGCGAGTTGACATGTCCGACTTTAAGTAGTCCTGTGACATAGAGTTTTTAAACTGCTCCTACAGCTCTTTAGGGTTGACAATTTCCTCATGTGTCAGCAGGGCTACAAATAAATCTCGCATAGCCCTCGGCAGTCTCGTTTTTTTCTGCATCTAGTAATGTCTGACGCCAGTGATCATCAGTCTGTAAGAGGCCCCTTGCTATACACGCTTTTTTTAATGTAGCCAAGTTATTTTCATCGTGTATTTTTAAATCATCGAAAGATTGCGGTCCTTTTACGTGGTGCAGAAGGAGCCGTAGATAGTACAATTCACCACATCGTGGTGAAACTGTGTAGACCCGTCCCAAAACATTGGCCTCAAACCTCCCTGGATGACTTTGGTTTTCTTTTTCAACCTTTCTTCGCTGCCATTGCTTATTGGCCCAGGTAAAGTACCGTGGTACTTCAGCATAAACAATGTTCTGGCAAAAAGGTCATCTGTGTTTAGTTTCAGAAACTGAGTTAGAGTTGTTTTTCACATCTCTGTGTCAGTAAGCCCAGCATTGTCTTGAAAAAAAAAACCAGGTTGTTCGTCGGGAAGATGGACTTGCAGCCTAACTACCGTCATTTTGCTTGAGACCAAACATTGCCTGGTTACTGCATTTCAGTGTGTATTTCACAACATTTTTTATTGATTTAACCGACGTGCAGACTTCCACATTCAAATGACAGTTAAATATTTTCAAGAGCTGAATATTGTGAGGGACGACCCACTCAGATATTATTGGTGTTCCCTCTCTTCCTTCTTTGTAGCCGAAAAATATACCCATATCCACCGATCTTCTCCTACAGACCGGATATGAATCCTCTCCACACATTGTGTGTTCCACGAAAGATTTAGGATAGCGTTTAGAACACGCGCCATTTTTCCAACAAGGAGATGTGACACAACAGTTCGGGCTATGAATCATGTGCCTTAGAACTAAAGCGTGTCCCTCAGCATCTTCCAATGGATTAGGTATCTCAGCCTGCACGAACTGATCATACACGTTTGGTGGAGGTTTGGTTTCTTCATCGAGCCAAAGTGAACAGTGCAGATGAGGCAGTCCTCGCTTTTGATATTCGGTGCTTATTATAAAAGCAGTGCACCTGCATAACAAACCGCCAGGCCCTGTCAAGTACTTGAGGAATAATTTTCTTTTTAATTCAAAAACTCTAGCAATAAGGTCAAGATATCTTTAATTTGTTCTTTAGCTAGCGTTAGGGACCTAGCACACGGATTATATTTTCAAGTGAAGTAGAGTTGAGTAGGTCACCTGTGACGTCAGTATATGAAGGGATAGTCCGAAATCGGTGTGTTCGGTGTTTTTAAAAGATAAAAAACATATTTTTGAATGTTGGTTTTTTTTGTGTGACGATAAGTGACGCTGCAGTAGCGTAGCGAGAGGGGGGCATATGTCCCCGGGCGCCAACCTTAGGGGGCGCTAAAATGGGTTGGAAAAATAAATTGAAAGGTTGAGGGGGGTGCAAATCGAAAGTTTGAGGGGGGGGGGGGTGCAAATCGAAATCTTGAGGGAGGGGGGGGGGGGGGGGGGGTTGCAACTCGAAATCTTGAGGGGGGGGGGGTTCAAATCGAAAAGTTTGTCGCCGGGCGCAGGGAAGGGTCGCTACGTCTCTGAGTGACAGACGTGATGTTTTTTGATGGATGACCCCCGAAACTCTCAGTTATCCAACGGATGACGGGTAGTCTAGTATACTACTAAAACTCAAGTTTGTTTACATGAATATTTGTTTGTCTGATTTACTATTGTATATGGTTCTACTCTATCTGGAGAGCTGTAAAATAGTATGTAGGTAGAGAATAATTTTTTATTGCAGACAGACTGTTAATCACACATTTATTTAAAGAAGTTAGTTAATTTATTGATTTATTCATAGGTAGATTAACCACATTTGTATTAAAGTTTTAGAACAATGGCTTAACTTTGGCTGAATAGTGATGTTTGATAACTCATTTGTTTGTTTGTTTGTTTTTCTGATTTGTTATTGGGGAGAATCTTCATTATGTGTAGAGCTGTAAAATGGTATTTTGGGTGGTAAATATTGTTCCTTCTTAAAAACACTGTTAATTACAAACTAATTTAAAGCCGTTAATTAATTTATTGATATATTCATGGGTAAATTAACCACATTATTATAAAAGTCTAAAACAATGACTTTAGTAATAGTAAGTAGTGTTATTTTCTTTGTACAACAATGTTTTCAATTATTTTTCCTAAGGCCTACATGTGAATGATAAGGTTGACTATCAGGACCTCGCGGGGAACAGGGCAGGTGAAGTAGAGTTCAGCTGTTTGTTTGTCCTTAGCATATGAAGGGATAGTGTGGTCAGAGACATGCTCGTCTGGAATCGTTTTCTTAAACGATAAAAACATGTTGTCTGAGACTTGGCTAGACACTGGGCAGGTGAAGTAGGGTTGAGTAAGTCACCTGTGACGTCAGTATATGAAGGGATAGTCCGAAATCGTTGTTTTCGGTGTTTTTAAAAGATAAAAAACATATGTTTGAATGTGGGGTCTGTTTTTTGTGACGATAAGTGACACTGCAGTAGCGTAGCGAGGGGGGTGGGGGCGGGGGGTACATATGTCCCCGGGCGCCGACCTTAGGGGGCGCCAAAATGGGTTGGAAAAATAAATTGAAAGGTTGAGAGGGTGCAAATCGAAAGTTTGAGGGGGGGGTGCAAATCGAAATCTTGAGGGGGGGTGGGGTGGTGCACATCGAAAGTTTGAGGGGGGTGCATATCGAAATCTTGCCAGGGGGGGGGGGGCGGGGGGTTCAAATCGAAAAGTTTGTCCCCGGGCACCGGGATGGGTCGCTGCG